CCTCCTCCTCCTCCTTCTCCTCTTTCCGAGGACGTGTGGGACTGGATGTCTGACACCCTTATTCCTACTGTCTTCCTGCAGAGCGACTACAAAGGAGACCCTGGGTGCTGGGCGCTCTCCTGTGGTTGTGTGGACCTTCGGGAGAAGGAGGAGGATGAGGAGGAGGAGGAGGAGCAGGAAGAGGAGGAGGAGGAGGGTAGGCAGGAGGGGTACATAATAGAGAAAGGAATGAGGGGAACGGAGAGCAGTGGGCCAGCTGCGTTGGCTCTCTGATGCGAGCTCGAAGCGGCAAGGAATATGGAGGGGGAGGCAGGCGAGGCACAGGCGGACCGAGCTTGGTCCTGAGGTCTTTGGAGGTCTCGAGGCTCGAGGTTTGAGGCTTTGGGTGTTTTTGGAACGTCGTGGACCCCTGGATGCCGCCAGAGAATTCCGAGGACTCCCGCTGCTACTTCGGGACCTTCACAGACATTCGTGGGCCGCTGGAGACCCCAAAAGGGCCAGCGACGGTCAGAAACTCGCTCCTCTCCTCTGCCCTCTGCTGGTGCTCTCGCTGCTCGCTTGCCTTGGCCGCTGCACTGCTGCGCACTCGCTCGCCCCCTGAGCCTCGGGACGCCGCGATTGGGTCGAGATGCAGGCCAGCTGTCCTGAGCGGCACCTCCGCGCATCTAGGAAAAACGCGACAGTGGTCGGTGATGTTGTCGCGCCTCACGTGTTCCAGCCAGCCTCCGCGCGTGTGCCCCACAGCTGCCTATCCACACTGTCCTGCTGCACCCAATGTACGGAGAGAGGGCCAAACCGTGCGCTGCACTCATCTGCCTCGGGTGCCGTCCGTCGCCACGCTCATTGCTGATTGGCTTCGTACTGGCGCCCGTCGGCCGGGCGGCAGCTGCCTTCGCCGCTTGCGGCAGCATGCTCCCAGGCCAGGAGGTATTTCAGTTGAAGGGCAGGCCTCCCAGGGCTCCCAGGGGGGGGCGCGGAGAGCCGCGTTTCGCGCGTAGCTGCCTGGCCCAGACAGTGTGCCCTTCTCCCGGGGCGCGGCGCGAGGGAGGGCGCGAAGCGAGCCGCGCGCCGCGCGTCGCGGGGGGGGGGGGGATGCGCCACGTGAGGCGACCTGGCTCTGTGCTTCCTGCTCCGTCGTCTTCCGCCCAGCCGCGGCGCGATCGGCCTCCGACCCGCCCCTCCGCCGGTCCGCCTCGCTCCGCTCCTGCTCCTCCTTCCCCGCCCCGCCCGCCCCGCGCCGTCGGGCGGCGCCGCCACCGCCGCCTCCGCCGCAGCCGCCGCCGCCGCGGCTGCTGCCGTCCCTGCCGCCGCCGCGGAGGCAAGCCGCACGCGGACGAGACTAAGTGGGGCCGGAATTGAGGGGCATATCATCTTGTCGGCTCCTGCGAATCGACGCAAATCGACGCGGGCCGACGCTAATCAACGCCAAATCGACGCTAAATCGACGCTAGCCGATGCTGCATCGGCGCGATCTCATCGACTCCCAGACGCCAATCGACGCTCATCGAGGCCAAAGACGGAATTGAGGGGTATACCAGGCTCCCATGACTGCGGAGGCCGTACGGCCCGTGCCGCCGACCCTGAAGGGAGACGACGACGACGACGACGACGACGACGACGACGACGACGACGACGACGACGACGACGACGACGACGATGACGACGACGACGACGACGACGACGACGACGACGACGACGACGACGACGACGACGACGACGACGACGACGACGACGACGACGACGACGACGACGACGACGACGACGACGACGACGACGACGACGACGGAGGCAAGCCGCACTCGGACAAGACCAAGTGGGGCCGCGTGCTCACGTACAACCAGCTGACGGGGCCCCTCTACCTGCAGCAGGCGCGGCCTCTCGCCGAGCCCGGCCTGCCCGCCCGGCTCGGCGCGGCGGGGCGCCCGGGGTCGCTCCTGCCTCTGCCCATACTCTTGGCATCGCTCGGACGCGTGCATTTTTCCTCGGCGAGGGCCATCGAGGAGCATCCTGGATCTCCTTGCGAACCATCAGCGCGCGAAACGGACAAATTCACGGGAAATGTACGTCCGAGCGATGGCAAGATATCCCATGCGTTTTTCATCGCACTCTCCGCTTCTTTCTTGCCTCCCATGTGATGGCCTTGGGCGACAGCTTGGGTGCGCAGCCTGTCCAAGGCGCATCTTGCGTCCGTCGCCGCGCTCGCGCTGGTCGAACAGACGACCCTGGGGGCGGAGATGGGGTTCCTTGAAGGCGGGGGGCTAGGAACGAGCTCACTGGGCACCTGCGGGACCCCCCCGACCGCACTTTTGCGCGGCATCTCGGGAGCCAGACCGAGCAGCGGGAGCAGGATCGAGCCAGGGGGGGCCCCTGGGCCCGTGGGCCCGGGACGCCCGTTCGGTGGCAACTCATGGGAGCCTCACATATCATCTTGTCGGCTCCTGCGAATCGACGCAAATCGACGCGGGCCGACGCTAATCAACGCCAAATCGACGCTAAATCGACGCTAGCCGATGCTGCATCGGCGCGATCTCATCGACTCCCAGACGCCAATCGACGCTCATCGAGGCCAAAGACGGAATTGAGGGGTATACCAGGCTCCCATGACTGCGAAGGCCGTACGGCCCGTGCCGCCGACCCTGAAGGGAGACGACGACGACGACGACGACGACGACGACGACGGCGGCGGCCGACGGCGGCGGCCGCGGCGGCGGCAGCGGCGACAACGACGACGACGCAGACGTGGACCAGAGTCCTCAGTGATGGTTATTGGGGTCTCTTCGGAAGTCTCTCGCGGGCCTCTGGGGATGAATTTTGGGGCCTCATGGGAGCCTTTTGGGGGCCTCGTGGGAGCCTCATGCCAGGCTCCCGTGATTTGCTGCCGGGACGCCCGGCTCTCGGGGCAGAGGTCCCGGCGCAGGCGTGGCGCGCCTGCGCTCCTTGGCAGCGCCGTGGTGCAGCGGCCGAAGGGCGTCGGTTCGCGGGCTCCGCCCGGCTTCCGAGCTGCTCCCAAAGCCGGCCTCTCGAGGGCCCTCCAAGGGGGGGGGGTGCCATGCCGGCCCCGGTGTTTTCCGAGGCGGCTGCCAGCCGCGGCGGCAGTTTGGATTCAGCGCCACGGAGAGGAAGGAGTGGGAGGGGTGGGATGTCAGATGTGGCGCGAGCGCGCCTCTAGCTTACACTTCCATCTTCGTCTCCTCTGTCTCAACCTCCCCCCCTCCCTCCCTCTAGGCCTCCTAGATGGGGTCGGAGTAGATGGGGTCGAAGGATCGTGCCACATCGCCGATGCATCGCCGATGCGGCTCGATGTGGGGCCCACTTTCCCCCACACCGACGTCGCCGATGCATCGCCGACGTCGGCAGTGCATCGCCGATGCATCGCCGATGCATCGGCGATGCATCACCGATGTATCGGCGATGCGGCGCGATCCTCCGACCCCATCTACCCCGACCCCATCTAGGAGGCCTCTACTCCCCCCTCCTCCTCTCCTCCCTCCCTCCCTCCCCCCTCCTCCCTCCCCCTCCTCCTCCTCCCTCCCTCCCTCCCTCCCCCTCCCTCCCTCCCTCTCAACCTCCCCCCCTCCCTCCCCCTCCTCCTCTCCTCCCGAGGCCCAGAGCCCGGACCCCCTCGCGCCGTGCCAGAACCGCGACGGGCCGTCTCTGGAGCTTGGCGGCCTCCCGGGGTGCCCCTCGCTGGGCCTCGGGGCCGTCCGAGAGCGACCCGGGAGGAAAAGCACCGGTCTGGGGGGGAGGGGCGCAGAGGCCAGCAACATGTGTACACGTGCGCGGTTAGCTTCCCCTGGAGTGCGTGTCAACGCGGACGTTCGTGCAGGCAAGACCGCGGAGGGCGTACATGTACATATGTCGTTGCTCGCCCTGGGGGTCGACTAGTGCACCACTGGTGCAGGCCTCTGGGGGTCGACGTTGGGGAAAAAAGCACGACGTAAACACGCCTCCTCGCCCAGAGCCGCTCAAGATTGATGGGCCAATTCTCCACCACCGCTACCACAGGCAGGACGTGGGAGAAGGGAGGATGAGGAGGTCCTCCTCCTCCTCCTCCTCGCCGTCCTCCTCCTCCTCGTCGTCCTCCTCCTCCTCCTCCTCCTCCTCCTCCTCATCCTCCTCCTCCTCCTCCTCCTCCTCCTCCTCCTCCTCCTCCTCTCTCTCTCTCTCCTGCCTATAACTATGGTGGTGGAAAATCGGCCGGTCAAACATCGTTCTTCGAGGCAAGGTTTTGGGTGCAGTCGGGCGGGGCTAGGACAGGGATAAACTGTCCCAGAGAGTTCAGGAACGCTCTCGGAGCGTTCCGGAACGCTCTGAGGAAGGCCGCGGCGCCGGATAGTTCCTCCAGGACCCCTGGATCTCAGGGATCCCCGATTCATCCCTGTGCGATGTTTTCCCTTGCCCAGGTCAGGACGTGCTTCGGGCTCCTCTCGGCAGCCCTCGGGAGCCGCATGCGGCACAGGTGCGCAGCCAGAAGCTGAAGTGCGCAGAGATCCTGAAAGAAGGAGCGGCCCGGGTGCCCGCTTCCCCGTCCGCCTCCTCCCCCCTTCCCCTTCCCGCTCCCCGTCCTGCGCCCGCCGTCCTCCGTCCTTCGTCCTCCCTCGCGCCTCCCAGCTCACCTCTCCGTCCTCTCTCCACCTCCGTAATTAGGTCCTCCCTTCTGTGTCCCTCCGTGTCTCTCTCCCTCCGTCCCTCCCTCCCCTGCTTGCCTCCCTCCCTCCTCATGCCCGCCTCCCTCACCCCCCGTCTCCCGCCTCCCTCGTCTTGCTCCTCTCTCTCCAACGTCCTCCTCCTGCTGCTCTTCTTCCTCTTTCTTCTTTTTATCCTCCTCCTCATAGCTCCCTCCTCCGTTGCCATGTTGGCTCAAGGTGGGGACATGCCCCAGTTGAGTGCGGCAGCCTTTCTTGAAGGTACGATCCTGAGGTCAAGCTCATGCGGACATCTTTTCTTACACACATCGTGCCGCATCCCTGATGGCGACTGAAGCGGCTTCCCTTTTGGCGGAGCTTCAGAAGATGACCACAGCGTTCCAAACCCTCACTGGTCAGGTCGCGGCGGTGAAAGACAGTCTACCACGCCTCAAGGAGGAGCTCAAGACTGAGGTCACGAAGACCATCGACACACGTACTGCTGCACTCGAGGCACGAATGACTTCTATGGAGAACAAACAGACGACGGCAACAGCATCCACAGGTGCGCCCTCTACAGTTTCTGGTTGTGGATACGAGCGGCGATTCAAACTTCGGTGGCTGGTGCTGGTACTGGGGATTCTGATGGTACCAAGACATGGATGAATGGTTGGCCTCGCCCTATCCGGCGCGCTCAGCGTGAGAAATGGCGCAAAGAGACGGTGCCTCAAATTACAGCAGTGAATATAACATGGACTGATATTTACTTCGCTGCCATCAGCCAGAGCTACATGCTCAAGCTTGAGAACGCCGAAGCTGCAAGGGAGTTACGCTGTTTCACTGCCTGCGCTGAGTGGGGTCGCGCTCGTCTCTCGGCTTCTCCTCCCTCCTTCTGCGCCTCCTTCTGTGGCCAATGCTTTATTTTTCTGGCAGGGGCCAGACTTTAAAGCCGTCGGCGTGTGGGTCAGCCGAAATGTTGGCGGCTGAGCTACCCTCGCTCCCTCCTCGGCCCCCTCTGCTCCGCCTCTCCTTTTTTTCTTAGGGCCCGTACGCGCGCCTCCTCCCCCCACCTCGCCTGGTGCCGTGGCTTTCAGTTGGAGTCAGCATCTCGGAGCAGCACGCGGTGTCAAGCAATCCCGACGCCCTCCATCCGCTCCTCCGTCTCACGCTGCGGCGCAGTGTGGCTGCAGTAGTGTGCAGTGCTCGCAGGTGGAGGCATCATGTTGGTGGCTCGTCCGGTGGAAAAAATGGGAGTTCCGCACTATCGTCGATTAGAGCGCGACCACATGGATTGATCCTCGATCGTAGGTGAAGTTCAACATCAAAGCGAGGCAGGATTTTATTCAGGATGTCCGCGTGCGTCAGCGCGCTCTCTCGAAGTACTATGACCCGATCAAACAGCACTTGGTGGATAAGAACTTCTGGGCGCAGGATATGAGAATGTCTGGTAATGGGTTTCGCAATGAGTCCTGGGCCACTACGAATGAGGCTGAGGTTGACTCTCTTGGCCGTTTCGCTGTTGTTCCCAACGTCCCAGAGATCCAGGCCATGGGCATGGACGTCAATACCGTCACGACAAACGTTGCCGACCTCGCCTCCTCGCACTAGAGGTGTGCTCGTCACGTGCGCGAGTTTTTACCGCATTTGTGGCTCCGGCCGTGAGGGGCACTGTCGTCGAGCACTCCCCGATTGCAGTGGACGTCTCCTCCTCTTCCTCGTTTTCTTTTCTTCTCCACATATATATATATATTTGGTTTCAAAAAGCGAAAAAAACAGGGGGGCGATGCCGCTCATGAATTCGATTGCTTTGAACATGATGCGTGTGCATGACCGTACGAATTGGAGCAACGTTTCAGAGTCATCACTTGGAATGTCCAGACACGTATCATTTTTTAGGATACGCATGGGCATATGTGTGACATCGTCTCGATCCGCAGCGATGTCTCCATGCTCGAGGGCTATGCGAGTTTTTTGCCGACGCACAGTGGTGGCATCATCACACTGATTCGCAGTGCTTTTTTGGCAGATCCCCATGCTATTCATTTCCAATCGTTATCAGCTGGTCGTCGATCTGTTCTTTAGCTTCGTGGCTCCAGGGGAGCGCTGCGCCTCTACAGTGTACATGTCCCGCCGCAATATTCGATGAACATCAAACCTTCATGAAGTTAGCGATGCGCATTCCTTTATCTGATCGTAGCTTGTCTGTGGTTGCCGGTGATCTCAATTGTTTGTCGCCAGGGGGCTCTTGCTTTCACACCCTCGATACTGACCGAGTGCGCAGATCTGACCTCGCCTGGCGTCTACATCGACAGGCTCCTGGGACGACCGATGGAGATTCAGCAAGATCATCCCACTCACCGCACTATGCAGAATGGAAGTCTTGTCTAAGCTGCAAAGATTGATTACATATACGTGTCTGCTCCAACTGGTACAATATGCGATTGGCATCCTTTCTCTGGTGTTCACTGGGAAGCAACTGCAGTGTACGAGCCCAGTGATCATGTGCCGCCTGATTTTCAGCTTCGCCCTGGCCGGTCCGCTGCGGCCACTGGGTCTACTGGCCACCACGTTGCGCGTCGCATCCCGATGCGGGCGGCCCGCGAGCCAGCGTTTGCTGCACATTTTAATGGGGTCATGCTGGATCTACCCATGAGTTGGGATCCTTTTGAAAAGCTACGATTCCTGGAGGACGCGATGCATCATGCCGCCGACTGGACGAGAGAGCAGCTCTCGTTCGTGGGCCCTGAGACCCCTGAGGGGAAAGTCAGCTGGTGTTTCGCTGTCGTGCGTGCAATGGAGTCGTCGAGTGCTCGACTTGTCCGCAAGGCCCGCAATGCCGCCCCTGTGGTTCGGCAATTTACTTATGAGGATTTGTTTTGGCCTAGCTTAGCTGGGTTTTCGCTATTTTATGCGCTCTGCCACGCTCGTTCATTTGCGTGCTCAGGAAAATGATGGGCCGCGGCGAGACATTCGATGTCTCTTTCAAGAACCATCAGGCATACAAGCTTCAACGATTGCACGCTGCCTAGGCCGACGCATGTCGTCGACTCTCTTTGCGTGCAGTTATCTGTCTTGATGGCCAGGGGGCGCCTGATAGAGCTTCGGGCGCTGCCGTGCTCCGGTAGAGGGAAACAATTACTGAGCACTCCCCCTCCCCCCCAAACTCAATGTTGGCACGCGCGGGGGGGACTGCGGTCGAAGTGCATCTCATCAGACCCACCGCCAACTTTGAACATTGGGGGGAGGGGGGAGGCGTTGACTGATGAATTTGGCATGAGTGTTCGCTAATTTGTTCCGAGGCCTGTCGCTTCATATTTTGGGGGGGGGGGAAGGCTGTTCGGGGGGGGGGGCCGGGGCGTCATCGTTCCTCTGCGCAAGCAGCTGCCGGAGACGTTTGCTGGCAGATCTCTCCTGGCCTCTTCGGGGAAGTGCAGAGAAACATGATCGACGCTGCCCCGTTCTCCTGTTGCCCAAATGGGGGAGATGGAGCTAGTCAGACATGATTCGATGTCTGCCAGTGCTTACTGGTAGAAGAGGAGTTACATGGTCTTCCCCCCATGAAAGCTTGCTTCCTTGTGAATGCGTGGATATCTCTCGCACTCCCTCACCGACGCGGTCACTATCGCAATCTGACGCGTCGAACAAAATCATCTCGCACGCAACCGGTTTAGGGCTCGCACAACAGGCTCAGTGCACGGTAGACTGGGCCCAGGCGGGTTTCGTCACAGGTTGGCAGATGGCTGACAACATCCTTTGAGGTCTCGTCGTCGCTTACTCTGTGGGGAGATTTTAAGGGTTGTCCTGGTTGTGGTGCCGCATTGGTTGATTTCAAGACGGCCTTCCCCAGCCTCGCCCACGCCTGGATCTTCTTGGTGCTCGCAGTCGCGGACCTCCCATGGTGCGTGCCCAGCATGCGAATATTCGCACTTCTGTCGTCTGTTCTGGCGCTGTCTTCGCGACCTTCCTGGTCCTCTCTGGGATTAAGCAGGGGCGCCTGATGTCTGGGTCGATATTCGCGTTGGCCCTGGACCCAGTTGTTCGGGGTATGTGCAGTCAGCTTCCTCGCCCGCTGTCCTTCGTGCATTGCTTCGCAGACGATGTGGTTCATGTATCGGGAGGCCTGTTCCGCGCGCCCCTGGGGCTCGTCCGTCGACCGATTCTTGCGGCTGCGCGACGGGCCTTGTGCCAGCGCGAGGAAGACACGGATTATTCTCCATTTTCCTCGAGATAGGGGGACCGTCTTGGTTCGCCTCAGACGCGCCGGCCTGGGTGCGACCAACCTGGTCTTCGTGGACGCGACAAGGTACCTTGGCATGTGGTACCCGCCCGCATTGGTCTCAATGGTTTTGCAGACTGATGGTCGCTACCTATGGGGAAATATCGGTTCCGCTTGACATTCCGTCGCAATTTACGTGCTGGTTTCGCGCGGACTTTGATCAGCTACAATGTGCTGGCTAGGAGTGTGCTGACGCACGCGGCCCAGTTCTTCTCCGTCTCCTGATGTTCTTCGCCGATGCAAGCGTGAAGGGTTTCAAGCGGTATTTGGTTGGCCTCGCCATGCGTTCCACCCAGACCCCTTCTACCGACTGAAAGAGTTTGGCCACCCTGTCCAAGCCGTGAACATCGAGAAGTCTGCCGCTGCTGCTCACTGCCGCATGGAACGGCGCTCTGGTGTTTTTCAGAGGCTCATGGATGAGTATCATAAGATTTTTGATGGTTCTGATTGGTCACTTGCTCATGAACACAACCTGAGGCTCATCAATATTATGTTTAACCTGCTTCATATAACTGGCGCAAGTTGCACGGCGTTCCCCGCGTGCCTGCCGATCCCCGGCGGAGCGATTCTCAGAAAAAAAGTGCTTGTTCAGCTCAATG